TCTTATCTTGTATAAACAATGTCGGGTAGAGGGGAAAAAATGGCGCTGGAGAAAAGACCTTCTCCAGGAACTACACACACAGCAACACCTTCTTGGGCTCCAGAAGTAGCCACTGACTTTCCCAATATGTTGTCAGTAGCATTGCATCTTCTGCTGGACCAGATGTCTAGCATTAACAACAAATTGGACTGTTTCCAGAAGCAACTATTGGGAATTGAGTAGATGAAACCGACAAAACCATAAAACAAGTTGAAGCCAAGACAGAAGACATTAAGCAGAAACTGGAGGCAGTAGAAGAAGAGCGGACCTCTGATAAAGAGCAACTACTACAGCTTCAAATGGAGAAATCAATGTATGTTCTACGCTTCCAGGGTATCCCAGAACAGAAAGGGGAGAATTTAAAGAATTATTAAGTGAAGCACTGCAAAATGAGACGGACAGACGTATTTTATTTATTTATTTATTTACCTTCAATTTGTATCCTGCCTTGCCGGTGCAAACTGGCTGTTGCCAGGTCATTACATTTGAGGAAGTGAACCAAGTGCCTAATCAGCCGCGGCTGGTAAAAGGCTGCCTTGGCAGTGGCTGCTACCTGGGCCTCCATTGTTAAGGGAGCATCCAGGATCACTCCCAGACTCCTGACCCTCGACGCTGGCACCAATGGTGCCCCATCGAAGGTCAGTAGTGGGATCCCTACCCCTGAGCCACTCCGACTCAGGCACAGGACCTCTGACTTTGTTGGATTCAATTTCAATCGGCTCAGCCTAAGCCAGCCCACCACGTCCTGAAGCTTCCGCTCCAGGTCATCTGGGGTAGAGTTGGACTGACCGCCCAACAACAGATATAATTGGGTGTCATCTGTATATTGGTGACACCCAAGCCTCCGGGCATCTGGGCAAGGGGGCGCATGTAGATGTTGAATAACATTGGGGATAACACCGCCCCATGAGGAACCCCGCAAACCAGCGGGTACCTCTGGGATGTTTGTTCCCCTACCGCCACCCTCTGTCCCCAACCTTGGAGAAAGGAGACAAGCCATTGTAGGGCAAGCCCCTGAATCCCTGTGTCGGGGAGGCAGTGGATCAGCAACTGATGGTCGACCGTGTCGAATGCCACCGACAGGTCCAACAACAACAGTGCCACTGTGCCGCCTTGATCCAGATGCCTCTGGAGGTCGTCTGTGAGGGCGGCCAGTGCCGTCTCCATCCTATGGCCTGGCCGGAAGCCGGACTGGAATGGGTCTAGCATGGAAGTGTCATCCATAAAGTTCTGCAACTGAATCGCCGCCGCTCTCTCCAGTAATTTGCCCAAATAGGGCAAATTGGAAACTGGCTGATAGTTGGCCAATTCAGCCGGGTCCAAGGATGGTTTTTTCAGGAGAGGGCGGACCATCATTTCCTTGAGTTCCCCCGGGAACAGCCCCTCCACGAAGGACTTGTTGATAATATCCCTGAGGGCACCTCGCAACCCCTCACGGCCAGCTTTTATGAGCCATGAAGGACACAGGTCAAGGCTGCACATGGTTGGGCGTACCATTGAGAGCAATCTGTTGACTTCCACAAGGCTGTGTAGACTGAAATAATCCAGAATAGAACTAGAAGACACGCATGGGGCCTTGAGTTCGCTCACTGTCTCAACTGTGGCAGGGAGATCACGGTGAAGCAGCAAGACTATCTGCAAAGTAGCTTGCAAACGCCTCACAGCCGATATCCAATTTCCTAGCATTTGGCTTGCCCTGGGGCAGCTCTGTTAATGACCGAATAGTTCTAAGCAATTGTGCTGGGCATGAGCTAGCAGATGCAACTTTGGCCACGTAGAACTCTCTCTTCATGGCTTTGACCACCATCTCATAGGATCTCATAAATGTCCTATAGGATGCTCTTGCTGCTTCTTCACGAGTGCGCTGCCACCATCTCTCTAGTCATCTGAGCCCTCGTTTCATCAGCCGCAGCTCCTTGGTATACCAAGGAGCCCTCTTAGAGCAAGAATGCAGAGGGTGTCAGGGAGCGATTTCGTTGATGGCAGTCGAGAGTTGCCACTCCTCGACAAGCTCATCTAACGAGCTGCCAGGGGGCATAAGATCCCATAGGGCCATCTGAAGCTGCTGAGGGTCCATTTGGCTCCGCAGGTGAGCTAAAATGTGCTCGCCGCCCAAACAGGGTCGGGGTGCCACATTCACACAGGCCTTCAGGGCATGGTGGTCCGACTATGGAACTGCCGTAGCAGTAATCTGGTCCACTGTAACCCCCGCCGCGAAGATTAAATCAAGCATGTGACCAGCTCTGTGAATGGGGGCTGTTACACATTGGGAGAGTCCCAGGGCCGCCACAGACGACACCAGGTCCATCGCCATTGGAGAAGCCACATCATCGGCATGGACATTGAAGTCACCCAAGACTATCAGTCTAGGGTACTCCAATGCCCAGCCAGACACGGCCTCAACCAGGGATCACAGGCCATCGGCCGGTGTGTTGGGCGGTCGGTACACTAACCAGATAGCCAAACTCTCCCCAGCTTCCCACACAAAGCCAGCACACTCTATGCCTGTGAGCCTCAATGGTGGGAGTGACCTGAAGGACTAAGCCTCCCATATGAGCAGAGCCATTCCTCCCCCCTGCTCCTTAGTCCGTGACTGGTGTAGGATGGAGAACCCAGGTGGAGCCAATTGGGAGACGCTACGGTCTCCCCATCTTGTACCCAGGTCTCCGTCATGCAAGCCAGGTCCACATTTTGCTCCAGGAGGAAATCCCGCAAAATTGTGGTCTTGTTGTTAATGGACCTGGCATTGCACAACACCAGTGTTGAAGAGGGGTTATTCCTCCTAGCCCCACTGACCGCCACCTTTGGGATGGGGCACAGGCTGGAAGGTGGCTGAGCTCTCTTTCTCTGTCCCCTTCCCTTCATTCTCCACCTGGCCCCATTGCTGTACATTCCCCTCCCCAAGAGCACTGGTATACCCTGACCCGTTGTCACCAATTTATGGCTGTTGATGATTGGGTACCAGCATGTGGAACACAACAACGTTAACAGTCAAAAATTCCTAATGCCCTCCTAATCTAGTAGTTTATAAAGCCTGTTTATTTACTTATTTTTTATTTCCTCTTTGTTCCCTCCCCCCCAGTCTATAGCAATTTTACTCTAGGCACCAGATAACCTCCTATTAATTAATTTGTAAATATAAGTAGCAAACCAATTAAATAAACAACTTCACTATAGGGCCTCCAGTAATTCGTCAAATAATTAATTGGGGGAATGACAATCAAATTAATCAATAATTAATTGGGGAATGACAATCAATACTACAATAGCACAAAGACAATCAAATTAATAATTAATTGGGAAATAACAATCAATAGTACAATAGCACAAAGACAATCAATAACACAATCAATTTATATGTCCCTACCCAGCCCCATTAATTAAAGTAACCTATCCCCACTTTACTTCATTGCCTATATCTGTTGCCTCTGTTGCCAGCTGCTAGTCAGCAGGTGGCAGTCCAACCTCTGAATCCAGTCCAGTGATCTTCCTTGGGTCTAATAATTCAGTCTATAGGTCTCCGCCTTTGTCCCTTGGACCCGCTGTCTGCCGACATTTCCAGCCTCTGCCCACCTCTCCGTGACTCTCTCGGCCCACTGTTCTGAGGCCCGGGGAGTTGTCTGTCATCTGAGCCCTCGCTGTTTCTGTTGCTGCAGCCCTCGTAGGCAAGCCAGAGAGATCAAGACGCTGCAGGAGCCATAATCTCAGCCGCCGCTTCCCCAGCTCAAGCCCAGTCCGGGGGCCTCGAGAGGAGGTAAGGACCCTCTCTCGGCTTCCCGGCCCCAGCTCTGCCGACCGGCACGTTTCCACGAGCAGCACCCAAAACTATCACTGTGGCGGTGGCCGTAGTTGGGCCTTGTCAAAATGGCAGCCGCACAACCGACCGAGACAACCGGAGCCCAGGATGCCCTGCAGCTCACTCCTGCACTGTTGGGAAAGCTCTCATGCTGCGCCGCGGCTTCTCCAAGCAGCATCGTTGGAATCAGGCCACACCAAAGGAAGGGAGGTAGACATTCCTTTGAGCAAAAACAGTCCTGGTATCTCAAGGCGTTGGTATGGTCTGCAGTCCACTGTCCCCCCTGGCATAGTTGGCAGTATGTGGTGTGCTCCAGGTGGTTTTTTGGCTGGCTAGGGTTGACTGCTGAAATCAATCTAAACGCAGGAGCCCTAGCACCAAGGCTCCCTGTCGGCCGCCATCTTGGGTCGAACCTATCCAGATTTTATCAAGAAAAATAAACTACCTGGCGAAATATTTGTTAAATTCTCCAAAAGATCAATCAGAGATGCAATCCCGAAAGCAACAACTGGGAATCCCCTGAAAGTTAAAGGACAAGAAGCAAGAATCTTGAAAGACATTCCACTTGAGATATGGAAATGGAGATGACAATACAAAGAGCTAACTTCTTTCCTGCACAAGAATTCCATTCCCTTCAGATGGATATTTCCAGAAGGACTTATATTAAATCAGAATGATAAAAAGATGAAGACGGATTCTGCGCAGAAAGCAAGGGCTTTTTTGGAACAACAAAAACTGATAAAAGACAAAGGAAAGGCAGAGCGAAAATTGCATGAAGAGGATAAAAGCGATCACGAGACTGATGATAGTTCAAGCAATCTGTGAAGATTCGCAGAAAACAACCAATTCTGATTTAACTTTTTCACCCATTAGTGTTCCCAGAATCATTTTAGTAACTAAACACATATGTGCAAAAAAATATAATAATACTTGTCCCTTAGAATCTGGCTTGTAGGAGGTGACTTGGATGAAACTTTATTTGAATGAAATGAGTAGCTTGACGGCAACTGTCTGCTTGCCAGTAAATACCACTGATTTTAATAGTACAAGTGAGTCCTATTGATTTAAATATGCCTATATTACTGTTTGATTTGAACAGGTTTGTGGACATTGTCACTATATAATTTGAGGAGAAAAGATTACAATTATATATTTTTTCTTTCAGAACTCACATTCATGATAATTGGTACTCCATGTCCTATCTATACTTCAGCACGATGGCATCACTGTTCACAGTCGTTGTGGGAGTAATTGTGAGCTTATCAACAGGTACATTCACTGGTTATGACTTTATTTCTACAATTGTTTCAAATATGAATTGCTATATACTTTTTGTTTAGTAAAACCAGCATTTAATAGAGCATAAAAGGCTCTTATTTAGAAGGCTGCTTCTCAAGTTTCTTTATAATCTTTCCTTTTCCCTAAATTTAGGTCTTCAGTCAACAGACATATTAATGAGTCATCTGTGCAGTTTCTATTAAACTTTTTTCTATGGCAATACTTGCCCAGTAGAGAGCTCTGCTTAATGCCTGGGCTTGATCAGGCATTAAGCAGAGCTCTCTACAGGTGTGTACCAGATGTCAAGACTGATTCTCATTTAAATTGAGATTTTATGTGGTGGGCAAGCAGGTACACAAAAGCACTTCTTGGAAAGGCCTGCTCAGGTAGGCCTTTCACTGTACATGACGGATAAAAGCACTGAAATGGTTCACAGTAGTATATGGCTCTGTATTTTATTATTTAGCAGTCTCTATATTGCCTTGTCAAGGTAGTTTACAAGACAGTACCAGTCAGTAAAGCAGTTAAATTAACAACAATGATGGCTGTCCATTCAACTGGAAAAAATGTTTGTTTGAAAGTTGGCACTTGATACCCTGTCATGCAAAAAGGTAGAACACTGCTGTAAGCTAAATGACTCTGGAATAGCATTTGGGTTTCAGAACCTTAAGCCCCCAAAACATTGATACTCATGTTGCAATCCCAAAGAAGCAAAATCCATCACTCCATCTGTAAGTAAACTGGCTGACCCAATAGACTACAGGAGCATGTCTCTCTAAATCCTCTACGTTAGCTACAAAAAACAAAACTGATCCATCAAGCTGTTAATATCAAAGGGAAGCAAGCATGGAACTGACTGTATCAATGTGTGGACTGCACCAGCATGGATGAATTATATTCTGTGATAAATCATATTGTTAAACTATCTTCCAGGAGGATTAAATCAAGAGGTGGACCCTAGACTTTTATTTGGCAAAGAGGAGCTGATGTCCAACTATATGTACTTGAAAGCTAAGTTTGTAAGTATAGTTCTGAGTTATTCTCATGTGTCTTCATGCAGGCAGTGCCCATTCATTTTTATATAGCCCATTCATTTATTTAAATTCTGAACTTAACCTCAGATATATTGGGGGATGCACAATCTATATAAAAATCAGTGTTGAGATCTTTATATGCCATAGGAAGCTTCCAGTAGTCTCGATTTTTATATAGTTGGTGCTATCAGCTCATCATCTCTTTGTCAGCATTCCCCCTCCCTGCCCTCAACAGGAGACTGACAATAAGTAGATGCATTCCAAGGAGAGGCACCTCCCACAAAAATGCTGGTGGGAGGGAGTGAACTGGTCTGCATAGCACTCATCTGCATGCGAGATCTGTTAACTTGATCCATATTTATACTCTGTTTCTATATACAGTGTTTAATAAACTGAAGTACGATTACATTATGATCGTAATCCAGCTACAGCCTTAATTAGGTATACTTAACTCTGCCTTATGGAGCTGCGGTGGCTCAAGTGGTTAAGACACTGAACTGCAGGCTGTGGAAGGTCAGTAGTTCAGCAGTTCGAGACCCGGGTGCCGCAAGATGGGGTGAGCTCCCGTCTCTAGTTCCAGCTCCTGCCAACCTAACAGTTCGAAAGCAAGAAATTGCAAGTAGATAAATAGTTACCACTTCGGTGGGAAGGTAACAGCGTTCCGTGCGCCTTGGCGTTTAGTCATGCTGGCCACATGACCACGGAAACGTCTTTGGACAGCGCTGGCTCTTCGGCTTTGAAACGGAGATGAGCACCGCAACCCTAGAGTCGGATTCGACTGGCTTTCGAGCAAGGGAACCTTTACCCTTTTAACTCTGCCTTGTAATTTTATAAGAAAGCAAGCAAAAATGGGCATCAAGCCTCTTTTTTTTTTTTCCTTTTTCCTATTTGAAATTATCACCATTATGCCTGTAGGGAGCACCAGTTGAAAAGATTCATCCAACAGAGGAGGAAAGTCCTGAATAAGGTTGGTTGAACCAGCGATCCAGATTCATTGCTGTAGGAAGCATTCTGCTACACTGCATGTCATCAAAAACTCGAGCATTCCTAGAAACAACATTTCTAAATGAACTGCATTGAATGCTACCGTACATGATACTGAGAAACATTTGCATATTTAAAAAAAAAACTGAATAAGGGAAATCTCCCCCCCCAATAAATAAATTTTGAAACAGTCAGTTTGATAAATATATGTAGATTGGAGAAAATTGCCCCATTTCACTAATGCATAAACAAGAGCTCATCAAAAAGCAGCAAACTGATAAATTTTGGTATATATATTTGTAGCCATCTCTTTAATTGATTGAGGAATATTAAAGATGGTTTTGTTTAAATGTTTGGCACATCTGAACAGAAGACCCTTTATACTGTGAATGTTTTACAAATTGTAAATGTTTTACTTCTGTACCAAGATATTACAATGGATATTAAGAATTAAATAGTTAAACCAAAACAAATCTTTTCTAATCTGTCAAAATAAATCTCCTGTGAAAATGGCTGCTCAGTACAGTAATTATTGTTTTTCATGCCGATAAGCTAGATCCAAATATTTTACTGAGTTTACCCTCTTTCAGAAGGTCCTTAAAAATCTTAATGGAATTAAGCACTTAAACTGAAATGGGAGAAGGGCTTCTTAATCTTTTTTCCTTGAGCCACTTTCCCACTGAAAATGCTCCTCTCGCAGTTGCTTTTATTCCTTCTTGGAGAAAAATAAGTGCATTTTATTCCCTTCCCCCCAGCAGGGTGTAAATGAATGGGGAGAGGCACAATTTTCATCAGACTAAATAGCACATTGGGAAAGCCCCTCTTTACCCATGTCAGTTTTCCACTTCAAAGTGCAGCCTCAGCAGTTTGCACTGTGAAGATGGAGGGAGATCATGGAGGGATGGTTCTATCCTTGGGAAACCCATGGTGATGGGAATCTGCTATGACATTACCTTTTGACACGTAGTAATCATATCATTATGTAGAATAACTTACTGAGACACAAAAGCAAGAATTTCATCCATAATTTATTTTAAAGTTTATTGTATTACATTGTATCAGTGCTAAACGTGGCTTTATGTTGATGATATTTGAGTGTGGACATCTGACATTCTTTGCCGTAGATGTATATTTTAATTTTTGCTATTTACAAATAGACAGTCTCCATATACCTTATATATACTATACATATGGGGTATAGCAAGTCCCCTAAAAAAGAATATATATATTTATATATATATATATATATGTAAACAGGGTGTCTTGGTAGGAGATGATATAGTCATGGCTGACATATCCAGATTTTTAATGCATATGTACTATCTGAACAGTTGAAAAAGTCACATGGGACATAATGCAAAAAAGTAGCAAACAGGCTGAAAAACAGTCCGCAGTACACAAGTTTTCTTCATTTTAAAACCTGGACCTACATGCTTGTTTTGTCTAGAATGACTTATGAATAGTGATCATATGCAGATTGCAAAATGATTTCACAGTAGTAACCTTGAAATGTGCTGCCTGGTTTGTTATGTCAATTATTCGTGGCATGCATTGAAGTTGAATCTTTTTCATTCTCTTGAAGGTAGTGTTCTTGCAGAGCTGGAAAAAGCAAACAGCATGTAGGTCTACTGTCTGGAGAAACAAGTAAAAAGAAGTAGTAATCCTACCACACAGCATTAGATTAGGAAAAATGCTCATATATTAATTTATTAATAAAAGTTATTGGCAATTGAGGTGCAGTGATAACATGTTAAAAATAAATGTCAACATAACATTGATTTAACTAATTAACTAGGGTCCCCCCCCCCAGTTTAGAAGACATAGCCCCTGCAACCAGCTCTACATAGCTATCTGGTACCTCCAGAATGAGGGAGGTGGACACAATTAGGCATTATTGTGGCCAGTTCATTCTACAGAAACTGGTACCCTCCACCACCTTCCTGGAAACAAGAGGCCCATGCATACTTCCTATGTCCTCATCCAGCTCCTCTTACCTGGTCAGAGTTCAATCAGTTTGGGACTTCCGGTTTTGGCGGCGCGAATGGTGGTCGCTCTCTCGGGACGCTCCCGGAGGCAATTCGCCCACACGCGGTTGGGGGGGGGATCCGCACAAGCGGAGACCCTAAGGAGTTTTAGTCAAAGGCTCCGAACCAGGGGGCGCACCGGGGAAGGGCCTCGTTACCGATCGGAAGGTCGGAAAATTGAGGCTCTCCCTATGCCCCAGAGGCCCTGCTGCGTAGTGCCCCTTATGGGGACTAGCAATGCCACCGGCTTCTCGGAGTGATGAAGCGATGAAACAAAAGTAAAAGAACGTGACTGGCGGTGAACTGTGAGTTGACGATCGAAATAAAAGGCAAAGGTTCAAGCGCACTCCCTCCCCATTGGAATAAGCGTAAGGGAGGAGGGTGGTTAGCCCCCCCCACGGATAGAACGAGACTGTTTTATTTAAGAGAGGAGGGGGGGAGTGAAAATCTTTAAAAGGAAAATTACCTTTTGGGAAATTGCTTAAAGTGAAGGAAAGGGATTGACTCCCAAGCTGCGCGGCACGAACTTTTAAAAAGTAAACAATAAAGTTAAAATGTCGGGGCAGAAGAAGCTGCAGGAGAAGAAGACGAAGAGGCTGGGAGGAACTTCCTGTCTTAGCCCTCGCCCTGCTGAGGCAGCTGTCAATCAACAAGAAGGCGAGATGCTGCGCCCTCTGCTGGAGCAAATGCAGAAAATCAACCAAACGTTGTCTAACATGGAAAGTGTCCTCAGCAACCAGTAGAAACAATTGACAGATACAACCAAGAAGATGGAGGAGATACAAAAAAATGCCTGGTATCAACGGAAGAAACGCAAAAAATCAAGAAGAAGGTCAATAAAGTGGAAAAACATCAAGAAATGCAGGATAATAAGCTATTGATGTTACAAATGAAGAAATCAAACCTGACTCTCCGATTTCAAGGTATGCAGGAGGTTGAAAAAGAAGATCTCAGAAGCATACTGGCGAATGCTCTGGCACCACTGACTGGCAGTGAAGCAGAAAAATTAAGAGAAGAGATGGATTTGGCCTATAGAGCCTATTCCAACTTTACAAAGAAAAATAACCTGCCAGCTGAAGTGGTCGTGAAATTTACTAAACAACGCATCAGAGATCAAATTTTAAAAGCATCATCATCAATGCCTTTGAAAATCGGAGAACAGACCATAAGGATTTTGAAAGATGTTCCATTTGAAATTCGCATGAAAAGAAAGGAATATAAAGGGTTGACCACATTCTTGCAAAACCATCAAATTAATTACAGATGGTTGATTCCAGAGAGAAAAGATAGACTCCATTTTCAAGGCTCAAGACTTTTTGAAGAGACACGCCAGCTTAGAGGAAGAAGCAGAACTCGCTAAGTGGATGGCGGTCAGTAGTGAGGAAGACAGCAGCTCGGAGGGAGAGGTCAAAGAATCGGAAGATGGAGAAGCAGCAAAAGGTCCAATTTACAACTTGAGAGATTAAAAAAAGGGAAGCACCCCAATGCCTGAGGATTTGTTCGGAAAGCGCAATAAGAGACAATAATAACCCCAAAAGGACATTACTAACATATCTAATGTCTTTATTTTTTACAGGTAAAGATGAAAGAGGATCGTTCAATCGCAGAAGAAGCCACAGACTTTGTGAAATACTAACAAAAGATTAACATACTAATTCAAACATCACTCACCACTTTTCTTAATCCCTCTATATACCCTTCCTGTTTTTCTGAAATTTAAAAGCAATAAAATTATCTCCTTTTTAGGAGAGTTAATTAAAAAAAAGAGTTCAATCAGTTTGCATCTGACTTCAAGGGTGGCTGGATATGGCTACATTTTCTTTCTCCAGTAATGGCCCAACTCATGCTATAGAGGGAAGAGGGGACCTTCAACAGCACACAGTGTAGGTCAGTCCCTCCACAGAGCTAAATGAGTCTGTGGGGATGGATCATGCCATATGATCTTGGTGTTAAATAGACACTAAACTGAAGACACACTGACAATTTACAGAAATTAACTGTAGTCTTCAGAGTCACAAAAAAAATCATTATTCAGATCTTGATTATTTAAAAGGCTGCAGAATTCTTCACATTATTTGGATTGGACTATAGAAATTACCCACCTACTTATGGCCACTCATTGTTGCATGATTTTCCATTTTTCTTCCTCTCTTTCCTTTCTTTCTGGAGACGCTCCAGTTCTGCTTCATACATCATTTCCTGGATCAGATATTTTTCTCTTCTCATTCGATCTCTTAGATCTTTGGGAAGGTCTGGGATTAAATAGGAAATCAGGTGTTTTATGCAAAAGACGAGGTGCTGGAAAAAAAGTTTTTAAAATTGGTGAATTCAGCATGGAAGCCAGAAGCAGAGTTCTTTAAATCACAGTAAAAGTATAATCTGCATCTTTGTGTGTACATATTCTGATGTTGTCCTGTATCATATTATTGCTAATGCAAACATTTCTGTTGAGTATAAGAAATATTAATGTTGGTAAAATGTCAGTCACCAATGTTTAGAAAACTCTGTGTCCCTTTAGAGAGATCAAGGGCTATTCTCTATTTTTATGACAGCCAGCTGATATGATGTCAAGCGCAGCCTACTAGTTATGTGATTCCTGGTCAGTGTTGCTTATCAGTGTCCAGTTCAAAAATGAAATGACATAAAAATAGCTTTTAAAAGAGACTGGTGTACATTGACCAAAATTAAACACTTCTAAGTGTTCAATCTGCTGAATGGGATTGCACCCTTAATTGAATAGGCTACTACAAGTAATAGCATGGGCTCTTACTCTTGAAGGCTTTAGATAAGTAAAATATATCTAACGTATCTAAAAATTGATCAAGGTGGGCAGCCATGTTGGTCTAAAGCAATAGAACAAAATTAGAGTCCAGTGGCACCCTTAAGACCAACAAGGTTATATCTCAAGGTGTGAGCTTTCGTGTGCAAGCATGCTTCATCAGACTTTGAAATGGGATTAGAAACAACAGTCCTACATATAGAGGGTGGGTTATAAATTAGCATGCAAAATTGTGAAGATGTTTTTTTAACAGATAACCGTAAACCAAGCTTGTTATTTTTTTATCTGTTTTTGTTCAACTGGGGGGGGGAGAGATAACATAGGCCGATGCCCCATTTCAAAGAAAAAGATGCTGTAAAGTTTGCCTCCATGCTAGAAAGTAGATGGATGGAATCTAATAACAGATTCTCACTATTAAGGGTACACCAGTCTCCAATTCTGACATATTTATTACCGATATTATTCCCCCCCCAGTTGAATCCAAACAGATGATAACCATAAACCAAGCTTGTTATTCTTTTTAACTGTTTAAAAAACATCTTCACTATTTTGCATGCTAATTTACAACTCACCTTCTACATGTAGGACTGTTGTTTCTAATTCCATTTCAATGTCCGATGAAGCATGCTTGCACACGAAAGCTCACACCTTGAATATAGCCTTGTTGGTCTTAAAGGTGCCAGTGGACTCTATTTTTTTCTATATTTAAAAATTGTAACAAAAATTAAAATTTGATTTGCAGCTCCTAGTGCCTACTTCTGTGGGAATATCAAAATGTCAGAAAGTCCATCTGATCATGTGTCTCTTATAGCACATCTTTTTCAGTCTTCTAAAATCCCAATACTGAAGTTGAGATTTGCCACCTGAAATATTTTTTTGATGGACAGTATGCTATGCTTTAAATGGGATCTCTTACATAAGATCGGTTGAGAGATGCTTCTTTTGTCCTGCACATGTTTACTGTAAAATTTAATTTGATTTCAAAAGCCAACATCAGATTTGAAATTTCATTCACTCTTACATTTTGCAACACTGTGTCAGTCCCAAGTCTTACCTCAAATACAATAATAAATGCCAATCGTGCAGCTAAGACATGCCAGAACTGTAGTGTGTAGCCATAGGGTACTGGAGCATGAGGTGGGTCACGATAGTCTCTATACCTGAAACAAAAAAGAAAGACGGTTTTTGTCCGTTGCAATGAGATATAAAGAAGCATGTGCAGACACACCCCTCTCCCCTACTGTAATGCAACTCATAGGGTGCTATGCATATTATGGGTCCTGTACCAGGATAAATGTATATGCTAATATTGGGAGGTGAGGAGAATAAACAGCACCTTCACTAGACCCCTCCCCCCAAGCAATGGTAAGGTGCTTCAGTAACAAGAACTTACTACAGTAATTACCTACTAAGGAATACCAGACAATAAAGCCTGCTGACAAGAACTGGATATTCTAAAACCTGTTTACAGAACCAAGATTAATTCTCTGCCTTAAAGCCAGAACAAAGGGAATAAGGCAGTGGGACAAGCTGCCAAACCTGCACCTTTGGAGGAACAGCAAAAGTGATAATGTGAGAGTTTTTTGGGTGTGTTCTTTACATACATTTCTTTACCTGCAATATTTTAATGGTGAGCCAGAGAACTCACTTCCATTTGATGTTGGTTCTGAACGATGTTCAAAGTCAGACACTAGAAATACTGATAAACTTGCATTAACGTAGCCAACCATGCACCTAGGAGACAAGAATTTCTTTAGTCAGGCTTGTTTCAGATGCTTGGAAACTAAAGTTGACAACAGAGGTTCAGATTACCTGAACTGTCATCAGCTAATGCTGAACATGCTGGGGAATGCTGTTTGCTCACCAGCCTCTAGTGGACATGGAAACAACCTAGGTCAATGGATTAAATTTGTGGGTTGGAGGAACTGCTTGGAGAGTAAATGGCTCTCCTCAAACAAAGTCCAGGTGGTTTGGACACTGGTTGTTGAGATTTATGTTAAGGTATCTAAAAGCCTTTAAAGATGTTCAAAAATTTCCCACCGTTATTTCAGATTTCTTGTCTATACTCTCAGGACAAAACACACCAAACCTATTCCCCCACTGAAGCTTCGCTTTGCAAACTATTATTTTTAAAATAAATTCTTGATGTGCCTTTAAAAATACTTATATGTCTATTCATTCTTTCGAGACCTAAGTTTTTGAACCGCTCAGGATATGTATATCTTTGCCCATCATATTAATGACATTCATATTGTTTGTATCTGCTTTTCCCCCCACTATTTTTTATTTATTTAAAATTTGATAATGAAATATTAGCATGAGGATCAAGTTAGTATTTATGAAGCAATTGAAAATATCCTTAATACATCTTCAAAGTAGGAGTGGATAACACTTGGTTAAAACTGGCTGCATCAATTTCCTGAAGGCTTTTCACCTGGGCTATGAAGCAGTTTTGAAAGAAAGAGATCTTTGCTACAGGAATGACTAATAGTTTTGGAAGCATTGCTTTTCATGAGCAAACCAAAGAAATCTCTCTCTATAATAACTAGGAGTAAGGCCTGTTGTGGGAAGAAATACAACGAGTTCTAGAAGGAAGCTCCAGGTGAGTGTCCTGGCTGTGGCTGGTGGGGTGGCAGAGGGAAGGGGAAAACGGAGGAAAGCCATATTTATTTCCTTCTGCTTAGCTATAAGGCAGGGCTGTCTCAGGACATTTTGCTGCCTCAAGTGGGTAGTATGGGAGGACAGCCTCATGGTAACAGGTATGGTTTCCTTCACCCCTCACTTATGTTGATTTGGGGTTATGCAGTGGCAACTAAGGTAGAAAAGCACTTCCTCCTTTGCCATGTCTTCTGGGTTCCAAGGGTCTGGAAAGCGATTCCATAGCCAGGTACAGGGTTGCCAACACTGGGTTGGGAAATACCTGTAGATTTGAGGGGTAGAGCCTGGGGAGGGCAGGGTTTGGGGTGCAGAGGGACCTCAGCAGGGTATAATTCCACAGAGTCCATTGCCCAAAGCAGCCATTCTCTCCAAGAGAACTGATCTTGGAGATCTCTAGGTGCTGCCTGGAGGCTGGCAATACTAAGGGGAGGGCCAGACCTGTAGATTTGAGGGGTAGAGCCTGGGAAGGGCAGGGTTTGGGGTGCAGAGGGACTTCATTAGGGTATAATGCCATAGAATCCACTGCCCAAAGCAGCTATTGGAATAACTGGGAAATTTTCTGTAGGGGAAATGATGTTCTGTGGCTGGGGAACATGGTGATTTCTGGGAGATCTCCAGGCTCCACAGGGAGATTGGCAACCAGTGACCGTTTAAGGGAAGATTGGGATATGTATTTTACCTCCAGACACATTCAATGACTCCCAACAGCAACAACAAACTGTTTAGAATGTTAGAGGCAAAGGCCAATCAGGCTGCATATGCAAATGACCTCTGTGTTTCGACTGGCTATTGGGGGGAGAGGAACAGCAAACTGTTTAGAATATTGAAGGTGAGACTCAGGAAACGCAGCCAGTGGACAGGGACAGCTTCTGAGTGACAGATCAGGGAGCTAACTGATTTGGGAGCGTGTGGAATGTTCAGGAGAGTGCCACCACCAAAACAGAATTATTACATAAGAGAGATTCTGTTTTGGTGGTGGCACTCTCCTGAACATTCCATATGCCACCAAATCAGGGTGGAGGGAACCATACCTGTTACCTTGAGGCTGTCCTCCCATACTACCCACTTGGGGCAGCAAAATGACTTGAGACAGCCCTGCCTTATAGCTAAGGAGAAGGAAATAAACATGGCTTGCCTCCCTCTATTTTCCCCTTCTCTCTGCCGCCCCACTAGCCACATCCAGGACTCTCACCTGGAGCTTCCTTCTAGAACTCGTTGTACTTCTTCCCACAACGGGCCTTACTCCTAGTTAAGTTAATAAAGGCAAAAAATTGGGCTGCAAGAAGGTAAGAAGAGCTCTGCTGGATTAGACCATCTGGTCCACTATCCTGTTTCTCACAGCAGCCAACCAACAGCCTCGGAGAAGTCTACAAGCAGAGCATGATTAGCCATCCCCTGATGTTGTCGCCCAGTACCCAAAGATATAGCATCTCTGGGCATGGAGGTTTTAGCCATCATGTTTAAGGAAGATTAATGATCATGTGTGAGTCAATTTCAGTTACAAGAATGCTTGCAACAGTTTTGCAAACGATGCGGCCAGACCTTTTAACTTTCATTTTACTACATTGTTTCCAATGCCCATACACATTACAGAAGCAAGCGGAAATTAATGCACAGTAAATGACATTCAGGACAGTGGATTTGGCTGATGTTTAGTGAAGAATTACCTATCTGTACTTTAATGATAACCCAGCAACAACAGGCTGAAACCCCCTTATTCAGTGCAATTCTGAATTTCATTTTAGTTTGCTGGCATTAAAAAGTGAAGGAAGCCAAAAGCTGACACTCAGAATATCTTGTAGCTCCATGTAATGTTAGCAAGGAGAGGCAAGAGCCTGTCATCTCAAAGTCAGGCTCAGCTCCACATTAATGGAAGAATTTTATACAGTTCATTATGGAAACGGAACATGTGTTTCCCCTCCAGCACGTACTGAAGTGCCAATCCTTGACAGGCTAATGAGTTAGCTGCACTGCCAATCACAAACTGTAACTTCAACTGTTCATTTTCTGCCACAGTGACAAAACTGCTGTGACAACCAAAATATGCCAAAAATAAAACCACCAATAAACCCCCTTCCTGCGTCTCAATAGTAATATAACAATAGTGTCTTATGAAAGATACTTTTTGTGAAATATGGTATAGCTCACTAGGTTAAAATGTTAATATACCCATCAGCTGCAGAGTTACACTTTTATGTTCATGCTGGGCACACATGGCTTATAAAAGGGTAAACTTTTGAAATGCATACATCAATTGCATTTGGTACCACATCTTTCTACATGTTCTTTAAAGACTCATATGAATGACCTCCCTCAGCCTTTGGCATCAGGGCTAAAAGTCAGAATGCAATAGCTTAAAGTGACAAATGGTGTTACTATGAAGCTTCCACTTTTTTGCTTTTCTCTTACCCTCTGTCTTGGCAACGAAGAGCAACATTTCTCTGCCAGACACATTAGTCCACAAAATTAGTTTGGGGCCATTTATAATACAAAGGAAGAGGCAGGAATGGGCATAATTCTGCACTGCATCATCATGCACACAGGAAACAAAGGTTGCTTCAGAGAAAAACAAGCCACTCTCTTTGTTGTTCCCAGTAATCAGGACAGCCCAGTAATTAATCATTAAGATCATCAGTGATAGGCTCTCACTACTAGTTTTGACTAAAAAGTTCTTCAGCCTCACTGACCCAATAAGGGCCAGTCGAAATATCCTCTAGAAGTCCCACCTCAGTGAGGTAAGAGTGCCCTCAACCCATCTCCTCCACATCCTGAGGCAT